GTGGTAGCGCACGCCTGTAGTTCCGGCTACTTGGAAGGTTGAGGCGGAAGGATCGCCTGAGTCTAGCAGATCTACGCTGGGGTGGCCATGAGCATGCCACTGCACTCCAGCCTGGATGATGGAGTGAGTCTCCAACTCAAAAAAAACTATATTGGAACACCCTTCCCACTCACCTGATCTGGCCCCCAGTGACTTTTTTCTTTACCCAAATATAAAGGAAATGTTGAAAGGAAGACATTTTGATGACATTCAGGACATCAAGGGTGATATGATGACAGCTCTGATGGCCATTCTAGAAAAAGAGTTCCAAAATTGCTTTGATGGTACTGGTGTTGGTGCATATCTTCCCAAGGGGAGTACTTCAAAGGTGGACCATAGTGATATTCAGCAATGAGGTACGTAAGCACCTTTTCTAGGATGAGCTCATGAGCTTAATTGTCATGCCTCGTGTAGGTTTCTTTTAAATTGGTTTTGCTGGGATTCTTTCCATACGGAATCTCCGATTAGATTCTCCAAAAACCTTGGAGCCCATCCAAGCATCTGCCTGTATGAATTGAGTGAATTCCTCTTTTTAAGGTTCCAGGTAACTTATGGCTCCTGGACCTGTTTGGTCAGAAGCCCTGCAGAGTTGGAAAGGTACCAGGCCAGCCTTTCCAAGGACTTTTTAAAAATTCATTCTTAATGCATCGTAATCTTAATTCCTCAGAGCAGTTTGCTCTGAAATGTCATTCCAGTCAAAGCCTTGGAAAAATAACCAGTATTTCCAATCACATCCTGTTACAAAAGAAAAGATTCTATTTGCCAACACCAGTTCTGACAAAGGCTTAACATCCTGAATCTACAAGGAACTCAAACGTGCTGAAAAGAAAAAAACAAACAACCCCATTATCAAATGGGCAAAAGATATGAACAGACACTTCACAAAGGAAGACATCCGAACAGCCAACAAACATATGAAGAAATGTTCAACCTCACTAATCATCAGGGAGATGCAAATCAAAACCACAGAGATACCACCTAACCCCAGTCAGAATGGCAGTTATCAACAAGTCAAAAAATAACAGCTGCTGGAGAGGGTGTGGTGAAAAGGGAACACTTCTACACTGTTGGTGGGAGTGTAAACTAGTGCAACCTCTGTGGAAAGCAGTGTGGCGATTCCTAAAAGCTCTAAATACCAACCTCCCATATGACCCCGCAATCCCCCTACTGGGAATATATCCTGAAGAACACAAATCACTCTATAAAAAAGATACCTGCACACGCATGTTTATCGCAGCATTGTTCACAATAGCAAGAACCTGGAAACAGCTATGCTGCCCGTCAAAAGAGGACTGGATTAAAAAAATGTGGTACATATACATGATGGAATACTACGCAGCCATAAAAAAGAACAAAATCATGAATTTCGCAGCAACCTGAATGGAACTAGAGTCTATAATACTAAGTGACCTCTCACAGAAACAAAGATCCGAGTATCACATGTTCTCACTCATATAATGGACCTTAAACATCCAATGCAATACTATACGAAAATGACTGACAGTACTGGGAAACTATGGTGGGGGGAGGGAGATGGGATTAACAGTAGCAAATATCTGTCTGGGAACGGGGAAACACCCCATATCAACAGGTTGCCTGAATGAAACGCAATTGTATACCTAACCCTTAACTGTACCCCACAACTTCATAATAAAAAATAAACAAGTAATTTTTTTTAAAAAAAGAAAAGATTCTTGTTGAACTTATACAAATAATCATACTGTTATAAATCAATACTCACAAACGGCTTCCAAATTCTGGAGAAATCAGGTAGAGAGAAAAATATATGTTTCAAATTTTGCTCAAGAGCATACTTTACTCCTTGTTAAAAGTTGTAAATAGGCCGGGCTCAGTGGCTTAACCTGTAATCTCAGCACTTTGGGAGGTCGAGGCAAGTGGATTGCCTGAGCCCGCGGGTTTGAGACCAGCCTAAGCGACACAATAAATAAAAAAGAACAATTAGCCAGGAGTGGTAGCGGGGGTGCCTGTAACTTCCAGCTACTTGGAAAGCTGAGGCAGAAGGATTGCCGGAGTCTAGCAATTCAACGCTGGGGTAGTGGTAAGTGTACCACTGCAGTCCAGCCTGGGCAATGGAGTGAGACTCTAACTCGAAAAAAAAGAAAAGAAAAGTTTTAAATAAATAAGGTTGGATGCAGCAGCTCATACCTGTAATCCCAACACTTTGGGAGGCCAAGGCAAGAGGATTGCCTGAGCCCAGGGGTTCAAGACCAACCTGAGCAACATGGCAAGACCTTGTCTCTACAATAAATTTTTAAAAATTAGCCAGGCGTGGTGGTGCATACCTGTGGTTCCAGCTACTTGGAAGGCTGAGGCAGAAGGCAGGTCGAGATTGCAGTTGCCATGAACATGCCACTGCACTCCAGCCTGGGTGACAGAGTGAGACTCAGACTCAAAAAAAAAAAGAAAGAAACTGGCACTAAAGAGCACTTATTAGAGTCCTTTAGCTGATTGTAAACTGCTTTTTGAAAGAGATTGGGGAAGGAGGGGCATACCTCATTAACAAGAGTACCTGAATAATGAACATTTGTATACCTAACCCTGAATTGTACCCCACATCTTTAAAATAAAAAAATTAAAAGAAAAAATTCAAACCTACAGAAAGATAAACAAACAGTACAATGAACTCTTTAAAAAAAGAAAGAAAGGGTTTAAAGTAAAACAATAGTTATGGATGGCAAAAGTCTTAGGACACAATTGTCAAAGACACAATTGACAAGAAAATCTGGCCATTCTGTGGCATATAACAATTTAGCATAATAATCGTTATTATTGATAACATAGTTGGGCATATCGAATTATAGCAATGTCATACAGTCTTGGAACACAGGCCAATAACACCCATAAATATAACCCGAGGAAAGTTAAACACTTTTTCATGTTTGATAATGCTTCCTGTGTCATTTTATTTTATTTATTTATTTATTTTTTGAGTTGGAGTCTTACTCTGTCGTCCAGGCTGGAGTGCAGTGGCATACTCACTGCTGCCCCAGTTGACCTGGCTGGACTCTAGCAATCCTTCTGCCTCAGCCTTCCAAGTAGCCAGAACTACAGGGATGCGTTGCCACGCCCAGCTAATTTTTGATTTATTGTAGAGACGAGATTTCTCCAAGTTGCCCCAGCTGGTCTCGAATCTGTTTGCCTCGGCCTCCCAAAGTACTGGGATTACAGACTGAGCCATTGAGCCCGGCCCCTGTGTGATTTTAATATACCAAGTAAGTGTTTTCTTGTACTTCAGGGAAATACTTTTTTTTTTTTTTTTAATGTAGAGGTCAGAAAGACTGAATTGATAACCTGAAATTTTTTTTTTCTTTTTTTTTTTTTGAGTTGGAGTCTCACTCGGTCGCCCAGACTGGAGCACAGTTGGCCGCTCCTGGTCACCGCAGCCTCAACCTGCTGGGCTCCGGCAATCCTTCCGCCTCAGCCTTCCAAGTAGCCGGAATTACAGGCATGTGCTACCACGCCCGGCTGATTTTTTGATTTATTGTAGAGATGAGGTCTCGCTGCCCAGGCGGGCCTCGAACCCGCGGACTCAGGCAATCCACTCACCTCAGCCTTCCAAAGGCGCGGGATTACAGGCTGAGCCACCGAGCCCGGCTGATAACCTGAAATTTTAATATTGAAGTTTGTTAAATATTAAAGGCTTAAAGAGCGTGATATCATAACACAGTATTACAGATCATTGCAAAATAGTTATTCATTTAGACAAAATGATAATTCAAAGATTTTAAAAAGCAAAAACCTTACTCATTGATAGAGGAGATTAATTTCCCTAAACAGAACTAAGAAAGAAAACAGGAGGCTAACTGAATCTGTCTCTCCTCCCCTCCCCAGCTTTTTTGTAGTTTACTTTAAAAGTAAACAAAAACCCTTAATTGTCTCTTGAAATTACACAGAAAACTTGTTTTTAAAAAAATAGCAAAGTTTATCTTGGCATGAGTGCAATAGTAACATTGAAATTAATTTTAATAAAATCATATCAACTTACGTCATTTTAATTAGTTTGGCCACAGGTAAGATATTCATAAACCCTTTTTTTAACCCTTTCAATTTTTATCAAAGGGCAGATCAGTGCTTTAAGAAAAAATTTATTTGGACATAATGGCATTCTGGCCCAGCATTAGTATGTTTTTATTATTAATGTTTAATGTTTTTAGTATTAATGTTTAATTAATAAAAAACTAAATAATTCCTTTTAGCAAATTTGATTATATAGAGAATTCCTTTTATAAATTCCTTTTTACAAATTTTATCCTGACTTTGTCTGTGGTATGAGTGAACTTTCTGTTTTTCCCTATACTTTCCTTTTTTCCAAATAACCAGTCATTTTATATAGAACAAAAATTTACCATACAAGACTCTTTTTTGCCTCAGAGGGACAGTCCTATGACAACAAATCCAAGACAAATTCAGCAAGAAACATTAAAGGAGGCAGCATCAGGCTTCATGTAAATGCAAGGTTCAAATTTTAAACTTAAGTCAGATATGAGCTGGACACGGTAGTTCATGCCTATAAGCCCAGCACTGTGGAAGGTCTAAGCAGGAGGATAGC